GGATTCCAGCTTATTTTGAAAAATGAAATCTTCTAACCACACTCGCCGTACATTTCTGCCTGGAGCTGTGCTGTGGCCTCCCCCACTAGGAAGGGCATGGACACGCTCTTTGCCACAGTCCGCACCGCTCCCTATGGTGCTCCTCACGGCAGCGCCGGCCACTTCCCCTCTCTTCTGCACGTAGCACCTGCAGGCATATGGTGTGTGAGGCCTGCTGTGGAGGGAAAGGCGGAGAGGGGGCCAGGAGAAGCCCCGGGGGCTTACAGGGAAGGTGGAGGAGGGGAGCTGGCATAAGAAGACTGAAGAGCAACCAGAGGGGAAGGCGAGAAAGGCAGCTGAGCCCAGTGCTGCTGACTCAGTCTGACATGATGAGGGACGTGTCTTTTGGTCCAGTCAAGGGGAGGTCACTGGTGATCTTGGCGGGAGCCACTGCATTCACAGGGTCCTGGTTGGAAAGGAGGCTGTGAGGCATTGAGGACCAAATGGAAGGAAAGAGAGACAGGATTGCAACCTTGTTCCAGAAGTTTGACTTTGAAGGACAACTTGTAGGGCTGAGAAACCACAGGGTAAACACGGCCCATCAGCCTGGAGCATTCATTTAGCTTGAATGTTTGGGGAGAATAATTTTTATGTCAAAAGCAAACAAATATTAGACGTCTTCTGTAAGCAGCAAGGCCTCTAAGGCGGGAGTGAAGACCAGACATACTGGATTGGGGCTAATATTGAGTGCTGTCTGTTTGCCAGGAACTGTGCTGACTCCTTTACATTCAGTATCGCCTATGGTTTTCACAAAGACCCTATGGAATGCATGTCTAGAATAATCTTTAGTTTGCAGATGAGCAAACAGGCCTGAGAGGTGCGCTTGCATGGCTGGTTAGTGACGGAGCTGGGATTTCAATATGGCTGTTCCGCTGAGTGTGTCTCCGCTGCTTCCCCCCGCCACCCCCCGCTCCTCCCCGGGGAAATGATTGCCCTGCTTGGCTGCATGTGTTGAAAATGCTTTCCACATTGAACTGCTATGATCCTTTTGTCAAAAATCAATTGGAAAAAAAAGTCAATTGGCCATATATTGTGTGGGTCTATTTTTGGACCCTTCTGTTTTCTTGCTCTACACGGCTCTCTCTTTGACAGTAGCACACTGCGTGGCAGTAGCACTGCTTTATAGTAAGTCTTGAAGTGAGGTAACTTCAGTCTTCCAACTTTGCTCTTTAAATTTTTTTTTAATGTTTATTTATTTTTGAAAGAGAGAAAGAGAGATAGACCATGAGTGGGGGAGGGGCAGAGAGAGAGAGGGGGAGACACAGAATCCAAAGCAGGCTCCAGGCTCTGAGCTGTCAGCACAGAGCCTGACGTGGGGCTCAAACCCACAAACCATGAGAACATGACCTGAGCCGAAGTCAGACTCTTAACTGACTGAGCCACCCACGTACCCCTACTTTGCTCTTTTTAAAAATTGCTTTGACTACTATAGGTTGGACATTTGCACATCTGTAAGTTTTAGGATTCTTTTGTCAGTTTCTATAAGAAGGCCCACTGGGGTTTTGTTTGGGACTGATTGTTAGGAGACTTGGCTCTCGTTTCATACAGATGTAGAAGGGCAGTCCACCCAAGCGTGTAACTGTAAGCTAGGGGCCGCTAACCTACAGGGTGAGGCGTGTCCGGAAAAGGAATGACGTAAGTGGTAGCCGATCTTGGGCCACAGTCGAGGAATGGCAGGGTGCCGTGAGGTCTTGGGCAAACACGATAACCCAAGCCCTGCGTAGGGAGGCGGTCGCTTCTCAGCTGCGTGCATTGTGGCCACACAAAAACGCGCACTCAGCGTTGTTTGATCTTTCAGCCAAGAGAAGATGGAAATCCAGATGTTTATACAGTCTTCCAGTGGGAAAGTGAATGTTTAAAGTATTGAGTGGGTCAGTATCCTGTGGGTCCACCAGAACTCTCTAGGCCAAACGTGGACCCTGGCCTGCCAGTGTGTGACCTCTGCCTTAGGCTACTCATTCTTTGGTGCTCATTTTCATCATCAGTGAGCATTATGGTGTTGAAGACAGTCTCCAAGGCTCTTTCTAAATCATTGACTCTGGATTTCAAAAGAGGAAAATAGCAAAGTTACTCACAGGTTTAGGAGGTAGTTGAGACTATCAACAGTGATGATAATTCTTTGAGAGGTTGTCCAGAGCATTACATTTTCTATCCCACTGTCATGTCTGTTCTCTCAATCCACACATTGTCTCTGTGAAGTAGACGGCAGAATAGTTTACCCAACCACGTGGGAGCTTCGGGTCACACAGCCAGGCCTCCGAACTCCAAACCCAGTTCTCTTTACTGTGGCGCGAAGTCTCTGAAGGCCGTAATAGGCGCTTGGGGCTGGGGACCCACCGTGGGAGATGGTGAGAGGGCCTGAGGCTCAGTGCGAGGCATGCCTCTAGCTAGATTCAGAACTTAGCTCGTTGAAGCGTTGTTGAAGCGTTGAGGCTTTCGCGCAAGAGTCAAAGCCTTCGTGAGCCCTCTCTGCAGGCGAGCACTTTGGCACATACTCATCTTGGTAAGACTGTGACTGGTGCGGTGACACACAGTTCAAAGTTTTTGTGTAAGTGAATAAATGGATGGATTGACGGAAGAAGGAATCAAAGGCTTTAGATCAAGAGGTCCAAGAGTCTGGCCTAGAGACTATCGAGGATAGAGAGTCAGGTGCTTCTTGGAAGAGTTTCGAGAATGTTAAGATCAAAAGCGGAGACTTTATTCTTGTAACTCAGCTGATAGATGGAAAAGGCTCACTGTGTCTTGGCGCTCAGATCTGGGTTTTGATGACTAGATTACAGCTGTCTCCCACTGCAGTATGTTTGAGAAAGTGAATATTGTGGGTATAAGGAAGTTAAGGCCACCAAAGGGTTTTGTATGCCTTTAAAAGGTCCAACCAGATACAGGCTTTTATCTTTTGGGAATGCATGTTGAAATATGGAATGATACGACGTCTGGATTTCTGTCGGTGAGGGGCGGCCTGAGTCGTGGAGCTGGCAAAGGTCAATCAAGACTGGATTCGGATAATCGTGGGAGCTGGATAGATGGGCTTTCCTTGTACCCATGTCTATTTTGTGTATATTTGAAATTTTTCATAATAAATGTAAAAACTAAACAAAACCTGTAAAAAACTAAAAAAAACTAAAGAGAGAGTGAGCAGGGGAGGGGCAGAGAGAGAGAGGGAGAGAGAGAATCCCAAGCAGGTTCCACACTGTCAGCTCAGAGCCTGACTTGGGCGATAAAAAATAACTTTATCTGTAAAAGCAGGATAATATGGGCTTGGTGGTTGCGGAAAGAGTTAGGGATGAAAGGGGCAAAGCACATGAGGACAGCATCTGGTACTTGTCATTATTATTAGACAAAGGGCCTCATAATGAAAGGGTAAAACCCTGCTTGAGGGTTCCCACCTACTGTGTCTTCTCTACATGAATTCTAAGCGCCAAGGGTTATATAACCACAGAGGTCATTTATTCTTTTAGAAACAGAACCCTTACAGACCAAATTGGTCCACCTTGGGGTTTCCAAGAACTGTAACCAGTTCATTGCCTTTGGGACTATGACGCAAGGAAGAGCTTGCAGAGGAAAAGGCGCATGAAATCAGTGGGGTGCCATTTGATACCTGTCGAATTGGCCTCCACATTTGCCCAGTTAATGATGATCTTCACCATTAGTGAGTTTTGTATGTGGAACAGTTTTCTCACATACACGTGGGCTACCCCGTGGGAAATCATTGTGGCATTCTGTACTGAGGGCCGTCTAAAGGCCCGTACCCAGAGACTTAGTACCCACTCTTTGGCATGCATCTAAAGACATAATGGAAAAGAAGAAATGTAATATGGCCGTTCAAAAAGGTTAATATTATAGAAAAGATTTCAGATGTGGGCCTGCAAGATCGTAGCTGATGATTACCACTATGCAGCTATCACACATGGAGATGGAGACTGGAGAAGAGCATGTAAAAGGGAAAATAGTTAGATTCACAGAGTGTGGCTTAGTTTTCCTTTAAGAAAGTCTTTTACTGGGGCGCCTGGGTGGCTTAGTCGGTTAAGCGTCCGACTTTCGCTTGGGTCATGATCTCGCGGTTCGTGGGTTCGAGCCCCGCGTCGGCTCTGTGCTGACTGCCAGCTCAGAGCCTGGAGCCTGTTTCAGTCTATGACTCCCTCTCTCTCTGACCCTCCCCTGCTCACGCTGTCTCTCTCTCTCTCTCCTAGAAATAAATAAAACATTAAAAAAAAAAATTAAAAAAAAAAAAGAAATTCTTTTACTGCTGTTAAAAGATTGTGCCTGCGCACCTACACACATATTCAAAGACCTTGCAAAGAGCTTACTATTACAGTGCATGAGACATTTGGAACATGGGTGAATCCTTCCCCAAAACAGGCTAATCAAAAATCAGAAAGTGGGGCACCTGGGTGGCTCAGTTGGTTAAGCGTCCAACTTCTGCTCAGGTCATGATCTCACAGTTTGTGGGTTGAGCCCCACATCGAGCTCTCTGCTGTAAGCACAGAACCTCTGTCTCCCTCCCTCTAACATTAAAAAAAAAAAAAAGAATTGGAGAACCTGAGTGGCTCAGTCAGTTAAGTGTCCGACATCGGCTCAGGTCATGATCTCATGGTTTGTGAGTTCAAGCCCTGTGTCAGGCTCTGTGCTGACAGCTCAGAGCCTGGAGCCTGCTTTGGATTTTGTGTCTCCCTCTCTCTCTGCCCCTCCCCCGCTCATGCTCTGTCTCTCTCTGTCTCAAAAATAAATAAACATTAAAAAAAGGATTAACTGGATGTACATACTGTGGAATATTACCAAAAAAAAAAAAAAAAATCAGAAGGCACCCGAAACCTGAAGGTTTTAGGTAGAAAAAGGTAGAAAAGAAATTGAAACCAAGACTTTTGCCCTTGAGCCTTTTTGCTACAGAACAACAGACACTGATGCTCCTTCCAGATCTTTGCTGTCCTCTCTTAACTGCCTTGAAATCTCTTTGTTTCCAGGTCCAATTCCAGAAGCTTCAGCAGCTCCGCCTTACACAGTACCATGGAGGATCCCTACCAAACGTGAGCCAGCTACGGAGCAGTGCACCGGAGTTCCAGGTACCACCAGATCTTTCCTTCCTTCAGCCTGCAATGGGTGTAAAAAAAAAAAAAAAAAAAAGAGGTTGTCCTTAAAAAGATTAGATCTCGAAGGCTGGAGTTCAGTGTTCTTTTGGGAAGTCCACCATTCTTTCTCCTGGCTTCCGCAGCATGAGATAGTGTTATCTCACGAGCTAGTGGTTTAAGGCTGCACTGTCTCATAGAACCATGAACCGTGCCATGAGCCACACATATAATTCAAACCTTTCTAATAGCTGCAGTAAAGAAAAAGAAACAGGTGTAATTTTAATATTATTTAAATGTCTTCGTTATTTAACCAGTATCTCAGAAATACTATCTCAACATATAAGCAGTGGAACAAACACAAAGGAGATGTTTCACATTCTTTTTTAAGTCAGTCTTTGAAATCTGGTGGGTGCTGTGTGCTTACTGCCCATCTGCGTTCAGACTCACCAAGTTCACTGCCTTCATGTGGTGGTCTTCTGCCATCTTGGACAGGACGGATCGAAGGCACAGATACGTGGTCTCCTTTGCACTTAGATTAGTGCAGTGTCACAGGTGCGTTCATCACTCCTGTCGGTGGGGAGTCTTGTTCAAAACAGTGTGGAACTGATACTTCAGACAATGGTATGCGATACTGTTGTTAAGATCCAGGGGAGACTTAACTTAGATACCCTAGTCTCTGAGAAATCAGGAGCCTGTCTAATTAGACAATTTAAGATTTGGTGTTAAAGTTGGAATATAAACCTTGAGACAGAACGAAAGTTGTTTATTTGGATGCCTCTCGATTGTCAAAGTACTGTCTTCTTTCTTTGTTGTAAAAGCCGGGTTCACTTGTTTGATGATGTCCCATAAGGCGAAAGTATTATTTAAAATAGAGACTTTCATTTTGAGAGTGCTAATAGGAGCTCTTAAATATGATGGTTATTAGAAAAAGTACAGTATGAACATGTTGTACCTTATTACACTGGAGTCTTGTTTTTACTATATTGACGTTGGAATCTCGCTGTAGTGTTGCCCACTTTGGGGCATCTACCTCTATAGATCACGTGATCTTCTACATGGGGCCATTGGATTGTTCGGTATCCAGATGAAGTGGAACTGTGCTTTATGCTGGGTTTCATGCTTCTGAAAATAGAACACTGTTGAGTGTTTTGATTTGGTTTTGGTTTGGTTTGCTGTGTCTGAGATCCTGGTTTTGTGGTACTTTATAGTCAACTTTAGAGGAATACAGAACTTCCTAGCCTGCCCCTGTCCTGTGGCCATGGGGAATGAATAGGACAGAGTAAGAGCCCTTGACTTTCTTAAGATTCTTTCTTTGGATACTGTCTTTGCTTTGAAACAATCACAAATTTACAGAAAAATTGAAAGTTCAGTACAAATAACTTAAATTTTTTTTATGTTTTTATTTTATTTTTGATAGAGACAGAGTGCGAGCTGGGGAGGGGCAGAGAGAGAGGGAGACACAGAATCCAAAGGCTCCGGGCTCTGAGCTGTCAGCACTGAGCCTGATGCAGGTCTCAGACTCACAAACTATGAGATCATGACCTGAGCTGAAGTTGGATGCCTAACTGACTGAGCCACCCAGGCGCCCCACTTTTTTTTTTTTTTTTTTTTTTTTTACACCCCTTGAGAGGATAAGTTGCTAACCTGATCCTCTATCAACCCAAAATATTTCACTGTGTATTCTCCTTAAGCAAGGATGTTGTCCCTCATAACTAAAACGGAGCCATCAAAATCAGAAAATGAGCAGTGGCACGTTCTTGCCATCTGCTCCCCAGACCCCGTTTGCGTGTGGTTTCAACGCATGGCCTATTATGGCCCTTCTAGCAAAAGGATCTGGTTCAGACTCACATGTGTTTAGTTATTGTCCTCCGTCTCCTTCAGTTTAGAACGGGTTTTTAGTCTTTTATCTTTGACAATTAAAAATGTGTATTATTTTATTTTATTATTTTTACTTTTGTGACCTGGCCACTTTCGAAGACCACCAGCCAGGAATTTTGTAGAATATCCCCAGTTGGGGTTTGTCTGACGTGTGGTTTTGGTGGGAATGGCATGGAAGTGACCCTCTTGCTGTATCCCCTTGAGGGGGTGATTTTCATCTGTCCTGCTACTAACGGTGTTCACTTCGATCTGTGAAGGTGGCATGTGCCCAGCTTCTTCGCATTAAAGTTTTCCTTCCCCTTTGTGATGAATAGATGCTTTGTGAGGAGATACTTTATCCTGCTCCTGATCAAACTTCTTTACATCTTTTTATTTATTTCTGTTTATCTGGTTTTGTGGCTTCTTTAATTCACTGTGTTAGAGTCTCTATTACTGTTACTTTGCTGCCCACATTATCCCCGGTCGGGCCAATAGAGGCCTCCTTCCTGGGATTCTTGACAAACTGAGAAGAAAAAGGAATCCCAGGAACACAGATTTAAAAAAAAATTTTTTTAATTTTAAGTAGGTTCCAGACCCAGTGGCAGGGCTTGAACTCATGACCCGGAGATCAAGAGTCACATGCTCTGCTGACTGAGCCAGCCAGGCACCCCCAGGCTTTTTTTTTTTTTAAGTAAACTTTTTTGAAGTGTAATTAACCTGTAATACAATTGACCTGTCTTAGGCATACAGTTCCGTGGTGTATAATCACCGCCGTAGTCAGGATTCGGACCAGTTCTGTCATCCCCCAGAAGTTCCTTCATGTCCCTTTGTGATCTGGCTCCACGCCCCCACCTCCAGCCTCTGGAAACCACTGCTCTGTCGCTTTGCCTGTCCCAGGGTATCCTCTAAAGGGAAACAAAAGCATGCAATTTTACGAGTTCTTCTTTCACTGAGCAGATTGCATTGAGAAGCGTCTGCATTGTGCATGTGTGAGTTTTCCAGAGCTGCGGTTACAAAGCGCCGTGAGCTGGGTGGCTTACGGCAGCAGACATTTCTTCGCCTGCAGTCCTGAGGCTAGAGGTCCGAGCTCAAGGTGTCAGTGGGACCCTGCTCTTGGAAGGCTCTAGGAAGGGTCCTTCTTTGCCTCTTCCTGGCTTCTGTTGGTTCCCAGGTGCCCCTTGGCCCATCGCCGTTCACTCCAGCCTCTGCCTCTGTTCTGCCAGACCTTCTTCCCTGTTTGTATGTGTCTCCGGGTCCAAAGCTCCCTCCCCCTTCTTTTTTTTAAACGTTTGAGGTTCTCTGATTCTGTTTCTTTTATTATTATTGTTATTTTTAATGTTTCGTTTATTTCTGAGAGAGAGAGAGAGGTAGCGTGAGCAGGGGAGGGTCAGAGAGAGAGAGAGAGACAAAGAATCTGAAGCAGCTCCAGGCTCTGAGCTAGTTGTCAGCACAGACGTCAACGCGTGGCTCGAACCCACGAGCCGTGAGATCGTGACCTGAGCCGAAGTCGGACGCTTAACTGACTGAGCCACCCAGGTGCCCTCCGCCCTTCTTTTTTAAAGATACTGTCACTGGGTCAGGGGCCCACTCGAATCCAGTATGACCCCATTTAGTTTGATTATATCCGCAAAGATTCTGTTTCCAAATAAGATCACATTCACAGGTACTTAACCTTATCTTTTCAGGGGAACTTAACTCCCTGCATTGCATTTATCTGGAGTTTATTGCTTTTAATTCCATTATATGGGCGCTAGGGTTCCTTTATCCACCCATCAGTTAACGGGCATTTGGATTACTTCCATACTTCGGCAGTTGTGCACAAAGGTATTCACATATAGTTTCTGTGTAAATCCCTGGAGCGGAACTGCCGGGGCACATGGCAAGCATAGCTTCAACCTTACAAGAAGCTGCCAAACCGTTTTATAGTGCGCCTGTGCTGTTTCACATTCCCACCGGCAGTGTACGGGAGGGTGCCAGCGATTCTGCCCTGCTTTCCAGCACTTTGTACTCCAATATTTCAGTGGGTTTTTTTTAATGGTGACAAAAACACAACATAAAATTTACCATCGTAACTGTTTTTAAGCGTACAGTTCAGTAGTGTCAAGTATATTCCCGTGGTTGGGCAACCAGTCTCCAGAACTTTCCATCTTACAAAACTAAAGCTCTGTTCTCATTAAACAACAGCTCTCCGCTTCCTCCTCCCTCCTCCCCCCCCCACCCCCCCGCCCAGGCCCCCATAACCAGTGTTCTCCTTTCCGCCTCTATGGATTTGAGTACTCTGGGCGCTTCCTGTAAGTGGAATCCTCCAGTACTTGTCTTCTCCCGATTGGCTTATTTCACTTAGCACAGCGTCCTTGAGGGTCATCCATATGGTAGCACGTGACAAGATTTCCTTTTTAAGGCACAGTAGTATTCTGTTGCATGTAGAGAGCACGTTTTGTATATCTGTTCACCTGTCACGGACATTGGGTTGCTTCTGTGTCCAGGCTGCTGTGAATAAAGCCTCTGCGAACAGTGGTGTGAAAATGTCTCATAGACACCCTGATTTCAGTTCTTCTGGGGGCACACTCAGGAGGGCCTTGCTGGATCAGGTGGTAATTTGATTTTAAACATTTTGAGTAACAGCTCTGTCGTTTTCCGTTGTGTCTGCACCGTTTTACGTTCTGTCCCAGCAGTGCACGGGGGTTCCGGCTTGTCCACAACCTCCCCAACACTTGTGTTCTGCTTCTGTTTGTTTTATAGTCATCGTCCTGATGGCTGTGAGGTGGTGGGATTGCAGTTTAAAAGATTTTTGTCATTCTAGTGCATATGTAGTGGTATATTATTATTATTTTTTAATGTTTATTTTTGAGAGAGAGAGCAAGCTGTGGAGGGCCAGAGAGAGGGGGGCCAGAGGACCTGAAGAAGGTTCCCTGGACTGACAGCAGGGAGCCCAGTGCGGGGCTTGAACTCACGAACCGTGAGATCATGACCTGAGCTGAAGTCAGACGCTTAACCTGCTGAGCCACCCGGGTGCCCTCGTACCACCCAGTCTTGATTGAAAGCCTTACCTTTACAGGCAGGCTTGGAATCCGATCGTGAGAGTCTTCCAACTTTGCTCTTTTTTAAAATGTTGTGTGGTTTATTGTAGTTCCTTC